CAAATGAATGATAATGTGGCTTGCAGTGTCAATAAGCAAGTGTTTGCTAACAGGTTCACCATACCAACTGATATGTTTACGTTGTGTCCACAACTTGTTTTCGCTGTCGCCAAATGGTCCAAAAAAGTTTAAAGTGTTTCTCTCTAACATTATGTATGCAGGACTAATCAGACTAATCTGTGAGAAATACACAAAAACAGAAGTGTTGGTTAATGTAAGACCCCCTCACTCCATAGTAAGAAGCTGCTTGAGAAAAGAAGTTGTCACTGACTTTGATTTGATCTCTCTCATTTGTAATCCCTCCATGATAATGATGTTAATATTCAGTCCAAATATTGAAGATTTAAAAAAAGAAAAAATGATTTCACTTGTCTGTTCAGTTATTCATGTCATTTTGAGAGAATTAAAATGTTGATTTGCATTGTTAGGATGCTGCCAGGCTGCATCCTTCCTCAGCAACCAGCCGAAATGCTGCCTTTCCCCCCTCAGGGGTTTGCTTGTCACTTCTAGCAGAGCTGCATTCGATTTAGTCCAATTATTCTAAAAAGTTTGATGGCAGCTCTGAAATTAAATTAGCTGGTGAAATTCTGGTTCACTGCCACCTCTGTAGATGGTCACATGTACAGCTAGTATGAGAGTGGACAGCCCTGGAAATAGGAAAATGAAAAAAAAAATGAAAAAAAGTCAAAGTCAAGTCAGTCACAGTTTGTAATAAATCCCACTTTACTACTGATGTACGTGTTGGAACCCCTCGGAGTGAACTTAACAGTCCACAACAGCCCTTATTTATCAAGTGTAGCAGAGGAAGAGTGCTGATGTGATATAATTACTGAAGTGCTCTTGACAATCTTGCTCGGAATGGTAACGCTTACTTATGCTTCCACTCAAAGAAAGCTTGATGAATACGTGTAGCTGCATCTTATATTGATTTCTCACATTTAACACAATCCATAGAGATTTCTGTCTGAATAGATGCATTTTTTTTTTTTATCTTCTAGAAAAATGAGCCTGCTGTGGTTTAAGTATACACTTCACTCCCTCAGCTGTCAGTGAAGTCCATGTGATATGTGTGATTATAAAATATGAGAACATAATAAATTGCAATATCCATCTTGCTGAGAATGTTTCAGCTCATTTAAAATGAGCTTTCTATGCTGGGAGTAATTAAGCTCATTATAATAAAGTCCAGACATTCAACATGGAAAATCAGCTCTAAAATAAGGCTGTTAGTATGTTTATGTCATGTAATGAGACGTGAATTTGAAAATCATGAAAAATCTTGAAGTTGTATAAAAGTAGAGCAGAAAAGAATAGTCAATTAATCAATTAGTCAATAGACAAAAAAAGTCTGCAACTATTTTAACAATTGATTAATTGTTCCAGTTTTGCTGCTTCTCATTGTCTAATGTAACACTCAACTCAATATGTTTTGGTCGTGGACAGTTGGGTGGGCAAAATAAACAATATGAAGACGTCACCTTGGGTCCTGGGAACTCGTCATGGGAATTTTTCATTACTTTCTGACATCTTACAGACTTAGTTAATCACAAAAATAAACATTAATAGTAATCAAATGATAAAAAAAAAAATCATCTTTACTTGCACCCTAATATACAAACTCAGTGTGATAACTTTAATCTGTCATAATAGTGAAGCACATTTTGGTGCCTGCTGCTTTTACGTGTCCTTCTGTCAGTGTCATGTGCCCCCACAGTGGATGGAGGTGTAGTTGTTTATGCGACTGGTCTGTTTTTCCTTCCTGACTGTTAACACCAAAACAGTGTGCTGCCTGTGTCAGCAGGTGGATGATCACCAACCGTATCGCTGACTGGCAAACTAATATTTCCATTCTCAACACTGGATAACAAACACAGCAAAAGAGCAGAGCCCACACCAGCAGCTTGCATAATGTCAGTGTTTCCATGTCAAATACATTCTGCGGTCACATACAAAGGTGAGTTGTATCCGGTGACGGAACCAGGTGCGAAGTGTGTTCGTTGTAAGAGTTGTTTGATGTCAGACACACACTGCGCTGATACTGTTTCAATTTCTGACATCATCCCATTCTCTCTCGTACAACTTCATCCAATATTTTGACAACAGGAACAAGTACTGAAGTAGGAGAGAGGGGAGGAAGGACAGAGGGGAGTGGGGGTGGGGGTGGGGGAGGTAGAGCTAGAAATAGTAACCGAAATATAGAGCTAGCTGAAAAGAGAAAACAGTCGTCAGTGTGAAGACAGAGACGTGCACCGATGCACACATAAGACACACGTTTTCACCACCCGGCTCCATCCTGCCACCCAGTGGCGAGGGCATGCTGTTGATAATTGACCCGCTGCTCTTTACGGTGTAACTAAATCCATTATTTTTAGAGTTTAGAAATTCCTTTTTCCAGAGAAAATGAAGTGCTGTTAGCCCCTGTTTTCCTCAACTACTTTCATTTGACAACTGTAGTTTCTGGTTGTTTTGTAGTTCTCCATGCAAAACATATGACAACATTATAATGGGTCATTATAGATTGAACTACCCAACAGCAAAGTGGTTAAAATTAGCTTTTTGACCAACTTCAACAGTAAAATGCTATTTACCTATTAATGCAATTATAGTCACAGGAGCCATTTTTGCTTTTGGTACTTTTTTTTTTGCTAATAAGCTAATACTTGTACTTAAGTGACATTGGAGTAAAGGATTAGAATACTTCCTCCACCATTGAATTGATTGATTGGTGCGAATTCATCCTTTGAATATGTGAAGAGCGGGGGGCATGTTAAAAGGTTTTAGAAAACACACATAGTATCAGACCGTGCATCTGTTCATATACATCCCAACCCCTCTTTGGCATAAATCAATTATTTTAAAAATGAGTGAGATGTCGTTCTATGAATATTTCATGGAGGTGATGGTAAAACATATGTAAGTGTTGGCTGAATGCATCCCTACTCGCCTTGGGTAAATCTTACAGTAAATGGTTTTTGACACTGCCAGGAATCTCATTCATCAGCCTGAAAGGATTTTCATTAGACCGTGTAAGGAAAAGGAATTATCAATACACCGTCTCCGTGTCAAAGTCAACAGATATTGTTAATAAACTGTGGATGAAAGTCCGTTGGTTTTTTGTAGCATTTCCGATGCTGCTGAACAAGCCAAGATTGTGCAAAAAGTTGTCATTACACATTGAATTGAATGTTACTTCTTGGTACGGATGAGAACTGCTGATTTCTCTGAAGTGGACACATTACTGAAATGACCCAGCAGTGATCCCATGGGAAGATGAAATTGAGTCTCCCTGTCACATTGCTGTTGCACGCTATATTCAAACCAAACTTCAGGTGTCTTTTCTCTCTTTATCCACTTGAAGGAAACTGTCAGAGGAATGACTTCAATTACATTTTTTCTTTTTTCATTTTGTTCTTTTCCTGAAGAACGGAGCGAGTGCCTGTGAGAGTGTGTGTCTGCATTAAAAGGCAGTGTTAATTATTTGATAGGCTTGGCCCATGGGGAGGAAGGGATACGCCGAGATTATCAGTAGATTGATTGTCGTCTACTGAGGGCCTGCTTTTAAAGATTGATCCAGGTGGGAGAGTCTGCCCTGTATCATTTGTATGCAGGGTAAATAGAGAGAGAGAGCACCACAAAACCACAAAACTCCTATCACTCCTAAATGTAATGCACCGACAGAGGCAAACAGCCAAACCCAGTGTTTCCCTTTGCTGGCTGCCTTTTATCTCCTATTCCCTTCTTTTATCTTCTTGGCAGTTAATTCTACCTATAAACACACACTCTTTCTCTCTTCCCCTCTCTGTCATTACTCATATCAACCCATATTTCCATGTAACAGCAACAGATCACAATCCTTTTCCTTTTTATCATGTGTGATATTTGAATCCTCTTTTTTATGAAACCGGCACTATTTAGCCAACACCCAACAATCAGACATTTCTACCGTCGACTCCAACACTTTATCTGTCTGCCTGCCTGCCTGCATCTGCCAGAAAGCACTTCCCATCTTTGAGACAATCCCACTCTGGATGTACTTAGCAAGTAGCTGGCAGGCAGAAGAATAGATAAAGGAAATGGAGGGAAGAAAAGGGAGCAGTGGAGGGAGGTGATGTGGATCATATTGGTCTGGCTTCATGGAGGCACATTGTGGTGTATATTGTTGAAAACATCACCGGCACTGAGCAGTTTTTCAGTATTGATCAAATCATTACATGTGACGTGAAAGGGGTCGCCTGTCTTGACAAACTCACAAGGAATATTACCCAATGCCATCCCCTTGACTCTATGCAGCTCTATATCTGTTTAGCTTTCACAGCATCTTTACTGTTGTTATTTAGTCTCATGGCTTTCTTTAAGACGCAGCAGACATCAAAAAAAAAAAATCAAACTAAAAAACAAACAAAAAGAAACTCAGATAAACCCAAATGTATGCTTCCTGCCCAGCACCAAACAGTGCACAGACAGAGTTAGTGAAGAGCTGGTGGAGCTAGACCAAGTGAGTGAGACCAAACAGGAACTAAAAGGAGAGTGACTCAAACCTACATTCGTCAGGTGCACAGACACTTGACTCAGAATGAATGCTAATGTTGCTCTGTGTCTGCTTGATATGTAAATTAGCAGGAAGTTAACCAAAAAAGTATGGCAGCAATGACCTTTTTGCATTTAAGGTTTCTGAATCAGTATTTTCATTGCTTTGGTAAACGCTAGGCTTAAAAAGTTATTTTATATATTCACTGAAAAAAAAATATTTCCATCAAAAAGATTAAAAGTATGTTTAAAAATTCTCAAACACCTGCTGTTATTTGGTCTAAAATAAACCTTCCCAGTATTAAATGGAATTAAATGGAAATAAATGAAGGTCGTTCTTAGCTAACTCAACGGTTGTTCAGTATCAGTTAGGTACTTCTCACATCTTGCTTTCAGATGTTTCTAAAATCATCTTTCAGTAATGTGCAGGATGAGAACCAACATTAATCTCATGTCGCTTTGTTTCTCTCTAGAGTCGACAAGAGCTTCTCCAGGACCAGAACCTTATGGTGAGTCCTCTCCTCGATGAAATACAACATCATGCATCAGAGAATTTTCTTTTAATGCTTGACTGGACTCCCTTTCCAAACGTTGCATTTCCAACTATTAAAGCCTTTGATATTCAGGCTACAAAGCTGTTTTCCTATTCTAGATGACCCGCTACACTTTTGATTATATATCCAACTTCAATCACGTGAAAGCATCATCATGGTCTAGCTCTATTCTGTAAGGAGTTCAGATTCCACTATATATCAGTATTCACATAATCCTTCTGTTCAGCATGACTTTGTGCAATGTGTGTGCAATAAACAAGACATTGTATTGTACAGTCAATTGACTCAGCATGAAGATCTGAGAGATAGCTTTTGACTTGTCCATCAGTTTCGTGCTTAGTCAGTTACTTGCTTGAAGAGGTTTTGCAATGAAGGCACCCTTCTCCACTTTGATAATCTTAAAATGTGCTTTTTTTCCCCAAAGTGGTGACAGTGTGATGACCTGAATATAGACATAGTTAAAAAAGAAGGCTGATAAGACCTGTATTTTTAGAGCAGTAAAACCATAAGCAGACTCCCCCTCCTCCTTATCTCAACTCTGGCTTTTTTCCTAGCTCCTATAAGATTTTCAGTTGTGCATGGAATTATTTTCTCACTTAGAAAAACCTTTCTGTACTTATAGCTTTGTACCTCTGCGTATGATCAGGATGGAGATAGTGGAGCTTGTAATGTTCCCTACTTGGCAGGTAGTCTCCCAGCATGAAGAAGGAAATGTGTGGCTGTAAATACAGGGGCAAGAGCAGATGGAGGGAGACAGGGAGCACAAGTATGTGTGCGATACCAGCTGGACACGTAGGGCACGCGCCTTTGAGATCTCAACCATCAAGGGCCACAGGCAGAGTGATAGTTTAACGTTCACATAAATACGTATTATTTCATTTATATTCCAGTGCGGTAATGAATGTTTATATTGTTTATATTCAAATTATATGTTGACATGAGTTTGATATTTTATTATTATAGTGATATGTAGATGTGCTATACAGTTTTTTTTGTAGGGAATCAAGGCAGCAAATGTCATCATGAACACTGGTTGTCTATGATGATGGCAGAGATTTTCTGTTTTGCATGGATGGAAACTGGGTGTAGTCCGTCCCAGAGCTGACTGAGAGATTGAAATGGAGAGAGAACACAGGAATGGAGACTAAATATTAATTACATTTTATGTTAATTGCATTTTCCTAAGTACATGTGTTTCTGTGTATGTCTCTCTGTCATACGCAGCAAAGCATCAGAGTGTGTTCTTTTGTTCAGAGGGATTTTGTCGTTTTGTTTACACGGCTCTCAGCCAACATGCCAGCAGCTAAAAAAAAAAAAACTGTGCTGCTTCATCATTATACATCAAATGGGCTACAGACTCGTAAAAAAACTGGAGTCATAATGAGTGTGGAAAGGACAATGGGAGGGTGCACTGGAAAAGGGAAATTGAAGGCGCAAGGATGATTCAGGCTCATCAGGGGAGAATACACCCTTGCACACCCACTGAATTTCATTATGAAGATTCGGGTTTCTCTCTGTGGCAAACAGGTCTGTAGCACATGCTAATGGTGCCGCAGGGCTGGGTCGAGCAGCAATACACAGCACATCTCTCTGATTTTAATCACTGAGTCATTTTGCCAATCGTGTATTCCACCAGTCTCAGGCTGCACTTAGATTAAAAAGCCTAAGTATAATCAACATACTTAGTAGTTAATAATTCATTTGTTTTGGGCACAGGGAGTGATTCCTCAAGGAGTTAATTTCTCTCTAAATCCAGCAGTTTTTTTTTTTTTTTTTGCTATATCACACTGTATATTTGGGTCCCTTTAGAATAGGTGTAAGGCTTAATTAGGACATGTCTCAGTTTTGTCTGTAGCGGATTTTGTGTGTGCTACCTAGCTTTTCACGCTGCTATTGCGTTAGGAAAAGCACCGTGTCTGTGAAATTTAGAAAAAAAACTGTCATGGCCACTGCTTCAAATCTATCACAACATTATCCTCAGCCAGCCAGGTGTAGGTATGTATGTGTGGGTAGAAACACACAGTGCCCACACTTTTCTGTCACTCTCAGCGAGCACCACCGTCTCCATCATCTCACCCTGGCACACAAACACGTTCTGTTCGTGTTGATGTAACTTGAGTATCCCCGAATCATTTGGACAAGGAGGGGCTCCTCAGGAGAGGTGAGAACACACTTACTTTACTGTGCTAAACTGTAAAGTAAGTGTAAACTGCACAGTGTTCCCAATTAAACACTCATTAACTTGATTGCTCTCGATAATGGTGGTGCTTATCCTCCTCAGTCTAAAGCTCCTGCTGTGCTGCAATAAGAAGCCAGAATAAATGGCGTGGCATTTCTGCAAGAATTGTGATTCTGGATGTGGAAATTTTTGTCCCTAACATCTTGATTCTGCTTTAATGGGAAGAAGATAAAATTACTGTCTAGTAATGCAGCAAATAAAGCGGAACCTATAAACTATAAATTAAAATCATCAGAGAAATCATTAAAGGTGCCCTTGTTTGAGATAACGTAACACGTTATGTATGTGAACAGCTGGGGGTACGTCTTCTCTGAGCAGCACCAGGGCCAAGAGCCTGAGCAACCCGATGACTGACACGAGGAGCTGGGCGGTAATGAAGTGGTACTCAGTGCTGAACGATGAAAAAGAGTGAGTTAAAAAGCTCCTAATTGGCCATATGTGGCTCTTCAGATTGCTGTTTATGGCCGTTGTCCATCCTAATATAGGAGCTAGTGTTGTGTGGAGGGAGCAAACAGGAAGAGAGAGCAACCAACTGTAGCTCAATGGCCAGATCAAGGCTCATATACTGAGTCAGGGTTATGGCTTTACTGTGATGGGGGACAAGCAGACTGTTTACATTTGCCATATTGGATGTTCTGGATGGAGACTTCCACTAAATGGCATACACCACATGAACAAAATATTAGAGCTGCCTTCCTAATATTTTGTTGCACCTCTTATTGCTTCCTGAACAGCCCGGACGGCAAATCATCTCACAGACATTCAACTGAACTGAGCTGTGATGGCTGAACAGGCCACTGCATCAAGCTGAATTTATTGAAATGTTCATTGAACCATTCCTGGACAGTCTTAGCCTGGTGGTACACCCTGCTGCCAGGATGTCCTGCAGCTTCAGTTTTAGCAACGAGAGCCAGTGTGCAGTGGAAACACACTGCACATCATCCAACCATTACCATTAACCTGCTGTATTGACACATGACATGGAGAGTGGATAACATAATTTTCATTGTGTATTCCTCACATGTAAAGGATTCTTAAAACCACAGTACTTTAGTGTCCTTGTGTTGACGTCATTGGCTGCCACACACCATTCTTACTAGAGTCTTACTAGGGTGTGACACCCTGTTATATTTTCTTCTATTAGTCCATTAGCCACCACTTTTAGACTGGCCTGTATCACGGCTGGACCATCTGTCGTTTCAGCCTCCTCTGGCCTCATCCTCTCCTCCATAGCCACCATGACCTTCACCTGGAGCCAGCAGCTTCAGCAGCTTCAGTCCCCGCATCACTCTGTCCCCAATGCACTGACAGCTATGTTGTTTTTCAGCCCGATCCTGAAATTACATACATTTGTCAGAGTTTAGGCTCAGAGTTAACGATCACATGTTTGCACTCTGCACCCAAATATGCAAAATAAAACATTTCTGTTTTCTTCCTTTCACATTTGCATGTTACCATCGTGCCCATCAGTTCTGATGACATTTGCATTTTAGAGAATTTAGACGTCTGGACACGAGCCTCAATATGTCTGTAAACAAATGCAGTGTAACTCGACTAATGTAATCAACATAATAACACAAATGCAAAAAAATTAAAGGCATTGTGTCGACTTTTGATTAATGCACTGCAGAAATACTTCTTGTTAGAATGTGTATATGTGCACACAGTTTGGGACTCACCCATATATAATTTACAGCACCTGCACAATAGATTTGTATTTTACATAATAGCTTGGTTCTTGCTGTTACAAAGATGTGTCTTGTGATGTCCTTGTGTCTTCAATAAATCTTACTAAAATCTTTTCATGGTGGTAAACATCCTCCAGTATTTCGCTTTAGCTTTTTGTCTTTTGTACAATAAACATTACACATAATTACCAAATGTGCAGTTGTTTTATAAAACCACTTATCTTATTATATCTTTCGTAATAAAATGCATGTGACTGTTGTTAATTATCTCTAGAGGCTAACAATGAGAACAGAAAAAAAATCCTTTCAGAACCTTTTTTGTATCATTTACAGTGGCGACGGTCGCACTAATTAAAACCCAGGTTGTGTCTCTGGGAATATTTCACAGAGCAGCTGAGTTTAATCATAGATATAGAAAAAACAAAAAAAAAGCACTGGGACTCTGGCTTTTGTTCTTGTCAGTGGACTGACTGTGTGCTATTTTGGCTGCTTCAAAACCAGGCAGGGAAGAGACCACTGCTGCGACCCAGGCGGGTGTGTCCAGTCCTCAGTGACTTCACCAAGGAAAACATTATGACCCAATGCAGTTGCAATGTGGTCTGTACATGCAGGTTGTGCAGAGGGCACAGTGAGAGAGCAGCATGGGGATGGAGGTTATTTTAGCAGATGGGGTTCGCCTGTTACTCAGTGCACCTGTTCAGTTAAATACATTCTGGCCTGCAGCTGCTGGTAGATGAGAAAAGAGACATGCATGCTAGGGTCTTTTTGAATTACTGTCCACCCTCTTGTCAAACTTAAAATCACACGTTTTTAAAGATTATAATTCTCAGTTTTAAGACACTGTGACATAGAGGCGTTGTTTCTGTTTTGAAATGTGTTACTGCATGTTAAAATGTGTTTTTTTTTTCCCCACTCTCCATTTACCTACCGATGATTAAAAGCACCAATTAAAATATTACTCACGCAGTCACCTACTGTACATTCCACCCTGTTGCACTTCATTAGCCTCCCTACCTAGTATAGACGTA